CCCCGGGCGCCACCTGGCCATCCCCCAGGGCTGGGGGATATGCCGCACACTCAGTGCACCCACTTCATGGTGAGGAGCTGAGGCCAGGGAGAGGCTGTCATGGGGCACGGAGCTGCAGACCTGGGGGAGCCCCACCCGAGCGGCCGGACCGTGACCCACTGGCCACAAGGCGAGCAACCCCTGGCTCCACTCCCCGGGGCAGGCGCGGTCTCCGTCTCCTCGCCCCGGGTCTCCCTCCCAGCACAGCGCCCCGCTTGCTGACTTGGGTTTGGGGGTCACAGCCTGAGTCTGCAGGATCAGGGCGTGCAGGGCAGTGCAGGGGAGCCGCCCCCATCACAACAGAACCTATTTCTGTGGAGCCTGCGGTGTGTCTCTGGGTAAAACCCACAGCCCTTCTCAGCAAACATGAGTGACAGCCACACACTGACACCGGAGAGACGAAGACAGACGACAGGCTTTCACCTTCCCCAGTAAAGGGTCCAGGTCCAGGGCCCAAATGCAGCCCCGCCTGCACGCTGGGGTCCAGCCCGAGGGACGCAGCCGCCCCCCATGCACCTGGGATGTCGGTCAGCCCTACTGAGGCTGAACTGTAATCTCCCCGTTCACTTCCAGCCCTCGAGTCCAGGTTTGCGACACCAAGCCCTCCCTGGAGCACAGCTCTGCCAACTGAGAGGCCACACGGCTGCTGTCTTTGGGACGGGCAGCAGGGGCGTCCCCAGCCCCATCTCAACACCCATCGCTTGGGTGAAGCTGCTTTAAAGCATTTCTGTCTGGAATGGACCAAACCCCTTCAGATCAAACAAACTTTGTGCTTATGAGAAGCAGCTGTGTAGCAGACCCACTCCCACCTAGCGGGGCCGGGACCCCCACAGCACCCTCAGCCGCGGGCTCCAGCTGCCGCCCCCAGACCAGCGTGCCCTTCATCCACCAGCAGCCAGGCCCTCACCGCTCGGTCACTCCTTCTCTGGCCCCTGCCCTTCTGGCCACCCCAGTGCACTGCCCCCCCAATCTGATCTGTCTTCAAAGTCACCACCCACTTACACCGTCACCACTAGAGAAAGTCCAAGAGACCCCAGGCGGGCAGCCTGCTTGTGTCTAAACACCTTCTCCTTCTGGTTTGTGGCAGAACCCCTCCAGGCCACCCTGAGACGTCTCTGCAGGAGGGCAGAGTGTTCCTTCCTTGTACAAATGTCCCTCCCAATCTGGAACCCCTGGCTGCTCCCCGCTGAGGGCCAAACCCTGACTGGCTCTCTCGCTGAAGGCACTTGAGGCCCGTCACGCAGGGCTGCCGTGTCCCCTGCTCACCAAGGGCCCCCGCGGACTGCGACCGAGCAGAGCACACCGCCAAAAGGGACGCTAGCGTCATGTTGTTAAGCGGTGAGTCTGAGTTTGGAAAAGCAGGTGTACGCGAGCGAGGCTCACTGCTTCCGGCGTGAATCGTAAGGGAGCCCTCGGGGGCATCATCTCACAATGACGCTCTAACACAAGAGCACACAGTTTAAACGAGCAGGTGTTCCCTGAGTGCGCCCCCAGGCCCCAGGCCCCCAGGCACCGACCTGTCTTTCTGAGAGGAAAGTCGTCCTTGGCGTCGTACAGGCCCAGGACCGGGTGGTTGCAGGAGGCCGACACCCCGCTCTGCGGCGGGGAGCTCTGGTCCAGGGAGCTGTGCTGCGTCTTCCTGGAGAGAGAAGGCGGGACAGACTCAGTTACTCGGCACCGACCCGGCCCACGCTGTGCGCGCCGGAGCCCCAGGTGCCCCACGGCGGGGCTCCTTCTCCTGACCCGTCAGCCCAGCTAGGTGGCCGGCCTCCGAGGCAAACTGGCCTTCTCTCTGGGGCAAGACTGAAATGAAATAAAACCAACCGTGAACCAGCGGACATGTGCTGGCCGCAGCCTCTGCTGACCGCGGGCCTGCGGTCCTGGCGCCGGGGCTCTGCCCTGCCCCTTCCCCTCGGGCAGCTCCTGACCTGGTCGGTTCTGAGGCTACACGGGGGTCACCACCGGCCACAGAGGGGCCTGCCCCTGGGGCGCGGAGGGCAGAGGGAGATGGGGGCTCCAGGTGTAGGGAACACAGGAGCGTCAGAGGCAGCTGAGACCTGGTGGGGGCGCTGCGGGGACAAGTGCTGGTGGTGTCAGGGTCCTCAAGGGCAGAAGCCACGTGGAGACGTCCCTTCAGCATAAAGTATACAGTCTGCATCCGTGCCTTCACAGGACAGTCACCCCAGCCATCTCCCCTTCCTCGGGAATGAGGGGTTGACAGCAACCACACTGCCCTGGGAGCTGAGCCAGGACATTTACTGCCTTTATGAACAGTGGGCACAGCTCAAAAATCCTTACGATGAGTAGACTGGGCAGCGGTCAGGAGGGGCTTGGAGGGGGTGGGGTCCGGCCTCGGAATGGGGGGGGGGCTGGCTGCACTCAGGAGAGCCTGCAGCGACCTCCTTTGACGGGGCCGCCCGCTGAGCCTTGCCGGAGGCACTGGAGGTGTAACGAAATCTGTGAGTCTTTAAACTGTGTAATCTGCTTAATGGCTTGAAACCAATTTGCCAACTTGCTTATTTGGAATTTGTTAGACTATTTATTTGAATACACAGTACTCCACATCCGTGCACCTGGTGTTATTTGAATTAAGAGTGTGAGCTCTTAAATGCTTACAGGTGGATATTGAAATATTGGAGAGCAAACTGGTGCAGAGAACGTGATGCTCAGAGAGCAGTGCAACGACTGCAGCCCGTGTGCCCCATGAGAAGTGCTCAGGGAGCCCAGAGAACAGCCCAGCGGGGTGGTGACCCCGCCGCCGCCACCCAGGGCACACCGCCTCCATCAGGACATGCTCAGGGATGCCAGGGCGGGGGCTCAGGGTGGGACAGGCCACCCTGCTGCTGGCTGCACCCTCGCCAGCGGGTTCTACCAGGCCTCAGGGAGCCACTCCCGCACAATCTCACTGAAGGTCTGAGGCAACTCTCTATAATTCATCACATCTTCAGGTCCTGTCCTCCGTGCAGCACGGCCTTGGCCAGTTTCGCGCCAAGCTATAACCTGAGAAAAACTTTACTTTCTCTTTCGTAAGAAACACAGAAAAAGGCTCTGTGTGTTATGCGATTTGAAAACACAGTGATTACTAATGAAATGTTATTGTAGACACTAATCACCATTGTCGTTCCACATTAGTGGTGGAGTCTGTTTGTGATTAAGCCAGAAGCTGGAAAAGCTAGTTGTCTGAGATCTAACAGGCTTTCTCTTCTGTTCTGGTCCCTTGCGCACCGAGGCCGTCAGTGTTCAGGTCCTTACTTTCTCGTCCAGACTCAAAATGAGTGAGATGAGGAGGCAGCTGGCGGGGCTCCGCGTGGTGTGCTGCCCGAGAGCCCTGGGCAGGCCTGTTCCGCACGGTCTAGGGGAGAATTCCAGGCATCGGGAGCAGGCGGCCGGACCAACCCAGCTGGTACCATCACAGGTGACTGACGCCAGGCTTCACAAGAGTGACTCAGGTCACGCACAGCAGCCTAACTCCCCCGAGCCGGGCAAAGCCAGGGAAGACAACTCATCACGACGTGACGGTGATGCTCAGGCCTCCTTGAGAGGCCAAGAGAAGGGCTTCTCGGGGACAACACACATCGTCTGCCCTCCGGTGGGGCAGCCACGCGTCACACAGCCCGGGGCTGACACCTGCCCCAGCGAGCAAGGGTCTGGGCGTGTGAGCCCAAGTCAACCCTGTGCCTGGCTGCATGTGCCCTCACACTCACCCCCCCCACGCATCCCACCCCCGTGCGCCCCCCACACCCAGGACTCACCCCATCCCACCCGCACGCACAGTCACCCACTCCCACGTGCGTGCGCGCGCACACCCACACACACACCCCCTCTGCAGGGCCGTCTTCTGCCCACCTCCGCCCTGACCATCACCGACCTTCCACGCTTCCGACCCCTCGTCCAGCCCGGGGAGGGCGGCTCTGTCGTACATCTGCCGCCATCCTGGTTAACTGAAAGGGCGTCTTTTCTTAACAACAACCCCTTCTGACGAAGATTGCAGCGCAAACATGCCTTGTTTCCTCTCTAAAGGTTACTTTGACTGCAATACGGAATAATGCTAGACGCAGACTCGCCTGTTCAAATTCTGTCAACAGCTGGCCCTTCCCGTTACAGATTTATCCAAGTGACTTAAATAAAACTTTCCATCACTCACACCAGCCTTGGCCAACAGCAAGCTACGCGAGCGGCTGTAAACGTTACCGCGAGCACAGAGAAAGCGGCGGCAGGAGCCCCAGTCTCCTCCTGCCCCTGCACGCCCAGCATCCCGTTGTCTCAACGCGCAGCCTGTCCGCAAGCGTCCACGAGACAGTCACAGTTGCGTTTCACGCCGAGGCTCGAGGTCCAGCGTGCCTGATGGTGGCAGCTCGCCTCAGTTTCCACCCCGGTTTCAATGCTCAGAAGCCAAGCGTGGCTGGGGGCTGCCGCAGTAGACAGCGCAGACTCGCACCGAGTCTAAAGGGGACACTTCTGATGCGTGTCCACCGTGGAACCGCCACTCCGGTAACGACCCAGGATGGTGTCGTCCCCACTGGCAGCGCCCTCTGCCCTCTGGGAGGAACCTCCACCCCTTTCTCCTGTGTTTTCTTCTGGAAGTTTTAACAATCCAGCTTTCACGTTCAGTCTACGGCATTTAAGCTGGTTCTTTCCAGCAAAGTTTTCCCACCACGCAGCAAGTGACTGTGTGGTTCACTCCATGATTTGGTCTGGTTTGGGGGACAAAACAAGAAAGCTGCTAAAAGCCATCCCCATTCCAGCCTGCTCACCCCAACCCCTCGGGGAAGAGGGCTCTCCCCACCAAATGCTAAACCCAGACAAGCAAGCCTCATCCAGGCCGGGGATGTGATCGAGGCCGCCCTACTCCCCAGGAGCAGCCGTGTCAGTCCCTCCTGACCCTGGGAAGCCCTGCAGGCCCCCATCTCCCCCACCTCGCCTCCCAGGTGCACCTTGTTCACACTCCTCCCCAAAGCCCTTCTCAATTCCAACCTCTCAGGGCGGTGCCTGCAGCTCTGCCCAGGGCCACCCACTCCCTGGGAGCCCCAGGACTAGGGGGACGCACTTTCCCCACCGACGGGCTCCATCCTGCGCACCACCTACAAGCCCATCATCATGGCCTCCCTTCCTGCCAGCCCGGCCCCCCACGACCTACTCATGGGGGGTTCTGGCACTGGCCACTCCAGTCTTCCCCTCATGTCCACTGTGGCCCCCATCCAAGAGCTCCAGTGTGGTCAACCACAACCCCGGCTCCCCCCTACCCTCTCTAGGCCCGCAGCCTTCGTACGGCTACCGCTGTAGCCCCCTCGCTGGTGGCGCCTCTCAGGACAGCTCCCTCTTCTGAAATGGCTCCTGGGTGCTTCCTCGCCCGCTGATCACATCTTCTGAGTGTTCCCTCCTGCGTCCCAACCCCTCCCACCCAGGACCTGGGAGCCCCTCCCCTCACTGCCGTACAGGCTGACTCCGGGGTCCCCTCCTCCACCCCAGCTTCTTTCCTGCCGCCTTCAGCTCAACAGCACGGACAACATCTCAACAGCTACCTAACCTACTGCGTTTGGGGCATCAGGCTGCACCCCCCAAAGGGGAACAATGGAGCTTCCGCGCAGCAAATCCCAGGGGGCTGGCACAGGTGGAGAGGCCGCGGATCAGTGTGACCTCAACGTGGGGTCTCCGGGTGCGCTGCCAGCAGAACTAACCATGAACCCCCCAACTCTCTGTCGCTCTCGGGTGCGCGGCTGTCATTTACGGCTGTTCAGGGACCACGGTGGCCTTCACTGCCTGGGCGGTGGAGCTGCACACACCAGCACCCTGCTTGCTGTGAGCACAGCTCACGTGTCTGTGCGACGTGCAGGGGCCGCAGACACTCGGGGGGAGACAGTCTTGGAATAAAGTGCCTTTCAGGTCGTATCAGGACCCCCGGTGTCGCCTGCTGGAGCATGAGGGCTCGTTTCAACGGGATTCGGCGGCATTTCTGTACAAACCGCCGTCCACTTTGGGGCCCCAGAGGGCTACACTTTTCCCCCAGTGAAATGAATGATAATTATCTTTGATTTATGAAAACCACCCTATGATGTTTCTTCCAGAATGAAATTACTCTCGAAAGCAGCAGAAACTTATATTCGAAGCAAAACCCTGTGAGGCACCTGACCAGGTTTAAAGCCACATGGCTTGGTGACTCCATTTCAAACTCAGCCGGTGTCAATGGCCAGCCTCTGAGCTGCGCGAGCCTGGAGGACGGCCCCTCCGCCCACGGCATCCTCCATCAGGTAAAGGCCCATGGAACACGCACCCACTCTCTTCAGTTCTGAGCATTAACAAGGCACTTCCGTGGTCTCTGTGGCTGACGAGGCTCCGGGAGGGGTTCTCAGTATATAAACAATGAAAATAGCGCAGGAACCTTTGACTTGCTTAAGAACCAACGCAACACCGGGCAGAAACCCAGGAGGTGCACAAGGACAATCCAGACCAGAGCTTCGGTTTAGGAGGCAGCTTTTGTGGCCAAAATACAGCCTGAGAAGCCGAGAAAATGGTCAGGCACCAGCCCACGAGCACCCACATCTGGGCGACGCCTCGTGCATTCACCTCCTGACCACTCGGGTCCCACCAGGTGCTGCCGGGCCCAGGGCTGGGGGGCGTGGTTTCTCACTCCACGCCCTCCCACCTGCCTTACAGGCGACGAGCTGAGTGCCACTCAAATCCACCCCATCACGCGTGCCGGGCGGTGGGAGGGGACCCGCCCCTGCACTTACCCGTACCAGTAGCGAGGGTCGCTGGACATGCAGTGGTTCAGGCTCCGGTGGGCCAGCGCCTTCTTCTTATTGAGGACAAACTCCTGCAGCTTCATCTTCACTTCCGTGCTCGCCACCGCACCTGGCACAGGAGAGAGCGGAGACCGGTGAGTCCAGGCTGGGCCCCAGGGATGCAGCGGCGGGGACCCTGAACCAGTGCCAGAAACGGCAGGAAAGGGATGCAGGCAGCGGGATTCCAGCTCAGGACGCTGCTGACGTCAGAGCGTCTCAAGGAAAAGAGGACGGAGGGCTATAAATAAGAGAACCTTCTTCCCAGGAACGGCTTTACATACCTGCCTCCCATTTAAAATGCAGGTGGAAGCAGCAGAAAAACCTACTGTACTGAACACAAACCCCGCCACAGGGAGCTGTAATATGCACACATAAAAGAAGGTCTGAATTAGGCTTCTTTCTCACTGCAGCAAAGAGACAGAGCAGAGCTTCTGCGCAAAGCGAAGCATCGCAGCCCCGAGCAGCGAGAAAGGGACGGAGCGTCCCCGGGGCAGGCAGGACAAGGCTCCCGCAAAGGAGGCAGCCAGGCCCCCGGGAACCCTTTCAGGGATGTCCCTGTTCCCTCCAGCCTACAGCTACCTACTCAGGCGAAGCACACGTCACCAGGCTGGACTGAAGCTGACAGCTCGTGTTTCGTGGTTTTCTTGTGGGAGTGGCGGTGACTCAACTCATTAAAGAAAACTGGCAAACTTGAGAAACAGACACACAGAGACCCTGAACCCACCACCCAAATCCAAGGTCTGCTGGCACCAAATCTGCTTTCCGTAGAGCTGCCATCGGACCACACAGCACCTGGGACCCATCCTTCCGTCAGAAACGAGGTGAGAACCTCCCTGTCGTCACACAGACTGCAAACAGCATTTTTAATGGTGGGCAAAAGCTTCATGAGGTGAGCAAAGTGTACTTCACAAAACCGTTTCCTGACTGGAGAGCTCTTCAGATGTTGCCCCTGTGGTTCTGTGGGAACCATGCTGCACCAGCATCTTTGAGGAGCTGTCACCGACCGCGTTTAGGAGCGTTTCCTCAGGAGAGATCAGCGAAGTGACTACGTCTAACGAACACAGCGTACAGCCCTGGGTGCATCTTCTGAGCCGTTCTCCAAAACGCCTCCACGCGGTACCTCTGTCTCTGCCTAGCACTGCTCGAAAGCCCCCGACCCCACATCTCCACCCGCGCCCGGGAGCGCCCCCCCCCACCGCGTCCTCACGCGCACGCGGGAGCACCACTTGCTGCAAATGAGAAGACTGCCTGGTACCTCACTGTCGGGTCCTGGGTGGCCACCAGGGCGGGCGCTGGCCCTTCTCTCCAGCGATGTGCCTTTATGTCCTCGGCCGCTTTGCTTTCAGACCTCCCTGCGCTGCGCGTGGTGTGGTGCTGGTGCCGTGGGTCCGTGCGCAGGCTTCTGCAGGTGTGCCCTTTGGTGTGTGTGGCTTTTTTACAGTAATACGTTTACTGTGAGCCGCCACTTGCGAGCCTGGCACATTTAAGCCTCCTGGCTCCCGGCTCGACACTCTGCTTGTGCAAGGTTTGCCCTGGTCTGTTTCCTTTTGAAACGTGGATTATACTCGAGTGCTGAGATAGTAGAAGATGTTTGTCCCTTCAGGCACAGAGCTCCTAAAGCCTGTGCAATTTCCCAGATGGTGAGAACACGGGCGGGGTCCGGGATGGCTCCCGCGGGGCTGGCCACCAGGAGGACTGAGCTGGAGGAGAAGCCGGGAGCTCCCCGCTCCAGCCCATCCTCCGGGGTGGGGGGGAGGGGGAGTGGACTTGGGTGTCCCTCGACACGGGAAGGAGGAGACTGGGCTGATTCCTAGTTCAGATGTTCACACGCTGGTTTCTGTGGCGTCTGTTCTCGTCCTGCCGTTGACTTCCCCCCATTTCCTGAAAGCTTTGAAATGTATCTTTCCACTAGTTCGGGAAATACTCAGTTTCATTTTACCCTTGTTTTTCTGCCGTTGGACTGTCATTCATTCCGCTGTCTGTTTTTTCACATTTCATTCTGATGTGCATGAAGTGGACTTTGGTGTAAGAGACTCCACAGACACTCTGATGAATTGCTCATAAATTGTTAACACCATTAGTGAAATGTCTTTCCTGCCACCTTTATCACACTCCAAATACACCTGTCATCATTCACAGATTGAATTTGTCTGGCTGGAAACAGGCCTGAGTGGAAGGCAGCCTCCCCGGTGGCTGTTTCACGATGACTTCTGTGCGTCACAGACTAGGGTCCTGCGGAACGAACCCCCGGGCACAGGCCCCTGACAGCTGCAGGGGGACCTGAACAGGGGCAACCAGGGGAGCATGGGGACAGCGCGTCAGGAAGGGTCCCTGGGACACACGGGCATCTGTCTCAAGGCTTCTCAGCACCTGAGGAAGCCGCCCATGGTCACTCGAGCAGAGATGCTGCCTGAGCTCCGGGAGTTACGAGATGTTGAGTGTGCGGGGTGCGCCAGCCACAGGGCAGAGCTGCCCAGACCTGGCTTACAGACCCCACGACACCCAGCGCAAAGGGCCCACGGGAGGAGTGACCAGACTGTGGGTGGGACACGACCGAAGGTTGCACCTCCACTTCTGAGCAAGCCTCCTGGCCCCCTCTGAGGGCACCCAGGCCAGACACGGACACTCCTGAACACCTCCGGCCTAACTGCCTTTCCCACCTGAAAATTACACCCTCACAGAGACACTGAAATCTGTGTGCAACGTGTCAGAGACACTGAAATCTGTGTGCAACGTGTGTGACCTGCAGCCACTTGGCATGCTTGAAGGGCACCCAGCCCCAGGGACAACCAAAAACCACGCATAGGGTTGCCGTGTCTGGACACAAAGTGCCCGACAACCAGGAACTTGGGGTGGGAGGCAGGGAGCCAGGGACACAGAGGGGACACAGCGTGCGGTGAGCGTGCAGGTGAGTCCAACCCCACTGCAGGGAGAACTGGGGGCAAAATGAGGGACTCTGGTGTTTCCCTCCAGGGATGCTGGCAGGGCAGGGACCGGACGAGGTGCATGAGGAGGACCATGACCTGGACAGCCTGTCAGAGGAGCTGACCCTCAGGTCCTTCCAAAAGGACGGAAGGAGTCAGGGATGCAAAGCAGGACAGGAGGCAGAGTTCTCGAGCAGGACTTGACATTCCCCCGGGCCTCCCAGGAGACAGCACCGACGCTCTCAGGAAGTACCTGTTCCCGGGTGTCCACTTCCCTCTGCAGAGTGGCCCCTGGGGCCACGCAGAGAAGCACTCCGATCCCCCTGCTTTGGCCACGTGCAGGGCTCGCACCTCGGACTCCTGCCCCCCGAGGGACAAGGACACACTCCCAAGCCCAGCAGGTGGGGCGCGTGGCGGAGCCCAGTGGCGAGCAAGGCAGCAAGACGCGGAGGGGGCAGCTGCCGGCCGGGAGGGGACGCTGGCCGGTCCCTGGCAGGGCTGAGGTCCCTCTGGGGCACCTGCCTAGGCTGTCCAGGGTGAGAGGGGCACCTCACTGGGCTCTCCCTGAGTCAGAGGGAAACAAACCCAGCTCCCCGAACCCAGACTTCCGGACGCACAAGATGACCTCAATGGGAGGGACTTCAAAAGGGAAGAGGCTGATCCTGGTCCTCGGGTGCTAGCTGTACTCTCATCTCCCACCAGATCTCCCCTCGTGAAATGGAAGCTCCAGAGTCAATAAAACACCTTCAGGAAATGGACACCAAATGTTTCTAATTTTCACTTTAAAAAATTAATTCACGTTGATTATCAGTCACTCGTTTGACAGAGTTGACAGAGGAAGTACGAGGTACCTGCACGAAGCCAGCCGGTGGGGTCCGGGGTGAGTCAAGGACACAAAGCGCCTTCAGGTCACGGGAGGGACGAGGACACACCCTGCGTCCCAGTCGCAGCCCTGCTTCTGCCGGGCTGTCGCCTCTGCACACGGGACGCCGCCAGCAGGGCAGGGGATCGCTCTCACAGCAGGCGCTCCATCCTTGAACTCCGGCCCTTTGAGCCATCGTTTTAAACAAAGTGCACGACTTCCCTTATGATATGGGCCCTGATTCCCAACCACGTCGCGCTTGTGAATGAATATAAACGGGAAAAAATATACATAGTTGTGTTAGTTCCAAACCGCTCAGAGGGCGGACTTGCCTTTCGTCAGATTTTCCCTTTGATGTAAACTTTGCGACAGCACAGCTTGGGCTCTGAAACACAGCTCGTCGAAATCGAACGTAACTGGTCGTTCTTGCTGAACAAGGTGAGAGCACGACGTCCAAGAGTCGCTCTTCCATCAAACCAACAGCAGTAACCGGCACCACAAGTAACGGACAAAACTATTCACAATGCTTAAATTATTTAAAATACTAAAATTATTTAAAAGGCACAGGAAACGTTGATAAGTGTAACAAAACTTTAATTAAATATTCGAGAAGAAATTCGTTAAAAGAAAAAAACCAAGGAACTGAAAAACAGAAGCCTTGCCCTGCACCTTTAGATGCTTAAAAGCTGGAGATGCTCAATGCCATGTGTGTCGCCCGCAACGCCCCCTACGCTGCACCTCCTGCGGGAGGACCCCGGCCAGCCCCGCACACGCAGAGCCCCGGACAAGGCGCGCCCACCGCCCAGCGCCTGTTCGCAAGACCGCGCGCCCTGAGGCCGAACGCCCGACGGAGCACAGCTTGTTGTTAACACCGAAGCCAGGCCGCCCAAACGCACGGACTGCAGCCACCGGGGCAGCGCTGCGACCAGCCGGGAGGGAGGCAGGGACATTCTGATGTCTCAGCTAAGGGGCTGCTCGGCAGGGGGGGCCAGAAGTGCTTCCGACCTTAAACAGGCCTGCTGCGCTTGCTGAAGCCAAGTCGTTCCAAACCTCGTGAGGCTGGAGACGTTTTCACTGGAAGTTTCTGGGAAACTTGGAGGAACTCCTTTAGACCTGCTGTACCGAGCAGCTGGTGAGTGGGGCGCCCATCAGCCCGCCGGCCCCCACCAGCTAGACCTCCACCCTCTGATGAACAACCATTTCCCCGCTCCAAAGAGAAACAAGAGTAGGACACACAGAGGTCCAGGCCAGGGAGAGAGGGCGGACGGGGGCAGGGCCCGCGTCGCAGGCCAGGCGGGTGCAGCGCAGCAGGCGCACCTGGGCTCTGCTCCCCACTCCCCTGCCGTCCTGCCCGCAGCAGAGCCCCTCCCAGGGCGCCTGTGGGGACCGGATGCTGCTGCCTGTGGGTGACTGATAAAACGGAAGGTGGCACCCACGTGGGGGACACAGGAGGGAGGCCACGGAGCTGCTGGGACGCTCAGCCTCCTGACCCGGGGCAAGGGCGCCCACCTAGACCCGGTTCTCCTGCACCTCAGTGTCGTCCCTGGAGTTTTAGAAATGAAAACGAGGGCGCCCACCCTCCACGCCAGATCAGGGCGTCAGGACGGCTGGGGGCTCCTGACACCACCTGCTGCAGGCCTGGACGTATCCGCACCCCGGCCACACCCTCAGAGCAGAACACGTGGTAGAGAGGACCAGCCTGGCGGGGTGCGGAGGGGTGTGACCGTAGCTGGCCGGCTGGGCAGTGAGAGTGGTGAGTGTGACGGGCACCGTCTACCCCACCAGCCCACCCCATCGGCACTCAAGGGCCCACGGGGCAGCGGGTGCCGCCTTCCATTTTAGCAGTCACCCCACCCCACGGGCAGCGGCATCCGGTCCTCCCAGGCGCCCGGGGAGGGCTCTGCAGTGGGCAGCCCAGACCTGCCATTCTGCTTCCCCTGACGGCCTCCGTCCTCATCCTGGAATCTCGACGGTGGGTGATCAGCGAGCCTGCGAGCCGTCTTTCGTCCAACTGTCGTGATGTGACCACGTACACTGTTCAGATTTAGTGACAACTTTCAACTATTGGTACAAAAATTAGGTCTCCTGTGGAACAGAACTTCTCCTGACGTGCTTTCTATGTTGAAACTCTTAGTCCAAGTAAAACTATGTTTAAAGTATATTGATTATTTTAAGAGCAAAATGCTGCGGTAACTAATAAAGCTATGAAATTTTACGTTTAGAAACAATTACTAAGGATGTACAAATAAATAGATAAACTGAAAATGAGGATAAATTAGCTACGTACTTTTAGGAAAAATAATATCCTCTTTCAAAGGAAGCATTTATAAAATGAACAAAATAATAGAGACATAATACAGATTAATTACATTCTACCCTGACTGAGCAGAAAGACTGACAAATAGGGCGGCATTAGGACTGGGTCTCTGCTGCTCCCAAGGCACTCTTAGGAGAGGGACCGGGCAGAGGGCAGAGGACAGAGGGTAGAGGGGAGGAAGACCCCGGAGACACACCACACCCACAAGGGGCTCGACTCCTAAGCACAAAGAGAACGACTCCAAACCAAGAAGAAGGGAGACGTCTCAGCAGAAGAGCGGGCAGGCAGCCTGAACGAGGGCCTCCCAGGAAGGGCAGCCGCGGGGCAGCGGCAGGGGGAACCCGGCCAAGGTGCCCTGCGCTCGGGGACGCGCTGCAGCCCCAGAGCGGAGACGAAAGTGCCGCCGCCAGTGAGTGCCGGGGCAACGCCGGCAGCGCGGACCCTCAGGAGCGGCACAACCGCCCTGGGAACTGCCCGCCAGGGCGCCCCACGCTCCGGCCGCGCCTCCTCACGCCCGCCCGCCTGCTCCAGGAGCCGCGCCCGGGGCTGCAGCATCACCTGCAGGAGCTCCGACCAGAAGCCACCCCACACCCACCGACCAGAGGGGACGAACCCCCTCAGGGGCCACACGCAGCAGGACAGTGGACGAGCCGCACACCGGGAGCACAGGCTTCACAGCACGACGCCGGGTGGAGGAACCGAAGTGCGAAAACCCACGTGAGGATGAGGCGGCTCACGTCAAGGTGAAAAGCAAAGTTACCCTCGGTGTCGGGTGTCAGTGGTCAGGCGGCGTGGCCTCCGGGCATGGGGGCCCCGAGGCGGCTCCTGCCCTGGCCTGGGCGCTCTGCTGGGTGGCGGCTACACAGGGATGTGCACACTGGAGACCGTGTGCTTTCTGCACGTGGGGCACACCCCAATAAAAAAGATTCGTAAGCCATTTCAAATAACAGACCTACAAAAATCTTCAGCGCGTCTTAAGCTGTATCTCATGCACATAAAGGTGAAAATTTAAAGGGGCGTGTTAAAGTGACTCGTACAGGTGGCACCGTTCTCAGTGGTCGAGGACAAAGGGTTTGAGGCTTTTGGGGTTAATACGTGTTGGTAAAATGTGCAGAAACGTCTATTTTTACACCTGAGCACTAGAAGAGTAAATTGCTCAACAGTCAGTCCATCACGTCCTGGCTTATTCTCAGCATTAATGGGGAACAAGTGAGTTCACTGAGCTGAGGGCTTTGGCGGAAACTGGAGAGCCTGGGGGTGTGGGCGTGAGCTCACCCCATCAGGTCCCGGGTGTATCACTGGGAGGAACAAACTGTCAAAACAAAGAGGCCCAGGGACGCGGGAGGGACGCCGCAGCCTCCGGGAGATGGGTGGCGCTGAACCCGCCCTCCCCCGGAGCTGTGCGAGCCCTGCTCTTTGTCCTGCAGCTGCGCGGGAAGCACAGGGGACTGCGGCCTCTGCCCCGACAGACACGGGGCACTCTGTGCAGCTTTTAAAGGGGGAACAGTATGCAGAAGAGCCTCCGGCTTGGGTCAGGCCAGGGGTCTCCTGGCAGGTAACAGACCACGCTGGTCTTCACACGAGCGCAGCCACTGTGGAAAGCAAAACCTGGGGTCAAAGGGCATGTGTATAACCCAAATGTGGGTCATCGCGTCTCCATTCAGTGGTCCTACAAGCTAATAACACCGGGCAGACGCTCTCAAAACAGGACTTTGAAAACGTCAGGGTTAAAGTTAGGATCTGAACTCACAGCTGGAGATCAGATGCATCTGGGACGCCTCATGGTTTTTAGCATCTTTTAAGTCCACTAGGAGCTGCTGAATAGTCTTTCAAAGGCTGAAGTCAAACCACAAGTCGCACCAGGTGCCCCTGCAGCCCCCAAACGAAGGCAAGGCCAGACTAGCACTGAAGCTGGGGCACTGCACCAGCCCCAAGGGGGTGCCCCGCGGAGCCCAGGCGCCCACCCCCACCCTGCTGTACCCACCACGGCCCCCTGCCCCCGACCACACACTCACTCTCTTTGCCTTTCTCCTTGTTCTTGAGCTGCTGCAGCTTCTGCTCCCGGTGCTGCTTCTCCAGCTCCTGCTCCTGGCGGTGTCGCTCCAGCTTCCGTTGATGCTCCAGCAGCTCCTGCTGGTGCTTCATGGCCAGCAGCTCCTGCTGTTGCTGCGAGCAGGGAAGGAGGAGACAGAGAGTCAGGGCCTCGCTCCCAGCGGGAACCCTGGGCAGACACACACATGAAGGCCAGCAGGGATCAGCCTCCGCGCTCCCCGGCCCGGCCAGCATCTCTGAGGAGAGGGCGCTGTGGTCCGTGCAGGAAGGAGGGCTGCTCCAGGAAGGCTCCGAACCACTGGATGCTGACCATGAAAACGAGAGGCTGAGCTGCTGGAGGAAAACACACGCGAAGACATTTGCAGTCTCGTGAGCTGGGAATGTCTTTTTGAGGCGCCATGTAACCACTTTGAAAACTGCTTAGCCCTCGCCCACCAGGACCCACCAACCCCACTCCCAGGACTGACCCGTGCAAAGCCCTGCGTGGGCCTGTGCTGGGCACTGTGCTCGCGACAGCCCCGCCTGACGCACCTCAGACGCCCCCGGACGTCAGCACCGCAGCAGAAGTGCGTGTCTGGACGCTAGAGACCCACCTCGCCAAGAAAAAGAAGAAACCGCAGGTGCCCGGAAACACATGACAGGCACAAAACAAGCAAAAAAGCCCCGTGCTGACGGGGGTAGGGGGGGCAGACAGGTCAGATCCCGAGGAGCCTGCTGACACGAAGTCCTGGAGCACGAAGCGTAAAGCGCGACACTCTGAAGGGGAGACCCAGGCGCCGAGTGGCCGGAGGGTCAGGGCCTCGGCCTGAAGGGCTCCCCACCCAGGACGCTGCAGGTGCCTCTCACGGCCTCCCCTCCTCTTCTCCAGCTGTTCTTTGAGGACAGCGTTGTGCCCTGAGAGAAGATGAAGGTGCTCAGGGGTGAAGGATGAGGGGCACAGGGCACACCGCTGCCCAGGGTGCCCCAAGGGGCAGGAGGCGGAGGCTGCCCAGCTTTCCCCTGAGCGGTCCCCTGCACCCAAGAAAACAGTCTACACGGAGACACACGAGCCATCTATGTGAGCGTGTGTGCGTGCATGCGTATGCACGCGTGTGCTGGCAGCCTGGGAGCGGGCAGTGTGTATCCAGGAACATCTCCAAACTCTCGTCCCTGGAAGCAGAGCCGGGCCGGCATCAGGCTCCTGCTGTGCCCGCCTCCAGCTCCGAGGTCACTGCCTGGAGCCACCTCACTGCTGGGGAGGGTCCGGGCTGCAGGCGAGGCCCGGGCAGAGCCTCTCCCCAGCCAAGGGACCGCAGGGAGAGGAGAGAGCAGCCCCCCCACAGGCCACCCCTGGCTGCCTGGCCCCCCTCCCCTGACCGCCTTCCGCCATCTCCACAGTCTGGAAGTTGCCCAGGTTCTGCCAACAGCTAGAGCAGCACGGAAAGTAAGGGAGCAGGATTTCAGTGTGTGAATAACGCCATTCGTGTCTTTTTCTTTTTTTTCAGATTCTACGTACGACTGACGTCACATGGTACAGCTCACAGACACAGAAAACAAACTTACAGTCGCCAGGGGAAGAGGGAAGGGATAAACCGGGAGCTAGAGGCCTGCAGGTGTAACTACAGCATGTAAAACAGATGAACAGCAAGGTCCTACTGCGCGGCCCAGGGAACCATGCTCAATGTCCTGCAGTAACTTACAACGAGAAAGACTCTGAACAAGAACGTGTGTGTGGAGACGTACGACTGAGAGTTTGTGCTGTGCCCCAGAAAGTGACCCGACATTGCACACTGCCTAGACGTCACACATAAAATTCAAAATAAGAAAGAAACACCCCCCTCAAGAAGGAGACAGGATTTCGCAGCTTAGAGCTCCTTCCTGTTAAAGACGCAACGCCACCTCTCATCTGCGACTTGGGTTAGGTTTCGATCACGTGACACTGAAAACATTAAAGAAAAAGACCACCAACTGAGGAAACGTGGAAGGTGCAAAGTCTCCCCTTTCATTCTCTAAACAAAGGCCACAGCGCCGGCGTGGCTGCGCTGCCTGGTGAAAACGCTGTCCAGCCAGACCCGAGAAGAAGCCGTCCATGACAATGAACGAGCATCTGACAAAGGCTGGTGCGAGCGGGGCTGGGGTGCAGGTCCACACACCCAACCCGCGGGCAGCGTGCCCAGCCGGACCTGCCCTGTCGCCTCCCAGGGACCCCCTCGCGGCCCTGCCAGCCCACCTGGGCGGCCTCCACAGTCAGCACAGCCAGCCGCCCGGCCGCCCAGCCTCCGGGCCCTGCTGCAGCGGGAGCCAGCACAGCCCCACAGGACGGAGCCTGGGGGTGGGTCGACACCTCGAGGCCACACCTGTGCTGGACGACACACAGCAGGACTGCAGCCCCGTCCCACAAACGACCGCCACCTCCTGCCTTTCC